CTACGCACAGAGAAACGTGGGTAGTCCATTCCGTCCGCCCACTCCGTCCCGTGATAGCAAGGACTGATTCCCGAAGAGGTGATTGCTGTATGAGCCGATTGGAAGGCAGAACGGCCCTGGTCACCGGATCAGGGCGCAACATCGGGCGGGCCATCGCCCTCAAGCTCGCTGGCGAAGGCGCCAACGTAGTGGTCAACTCCCGCTCCAACCGCGAGGAAGCCGAGTCGGTGGCCGAGGAGGTCCGGGCCATCGGAGTCGATGCCCTGCCCGTGCTGGCCGACGTCGCCATCACGCTCCCAGTCTTCCAGGGTCAGTTCGGTGAACGGCCTGTGCGGGCGGATGGCGGCGTTGCTGACCAGCACGTCGACCTTGCCGAACCGCTCGGCGGCGGCGGCGAACTGACCCTGGAAGACTGGGAGCGTGTGCGCGGCGTGGTGCTCGACGGCGCGTTCTACTGCGCCCGCAACGCCATCCCGGCCATGCAGGCCAACGGGTTCGGACGCATCGTGTTCCTCACCGGCGACGGCGCCTGGAACGGCTCCGGCGAGCGCTCCCACGTCTCCGCCGCCAAGATGGGCGTCGTGGGTCTGGCTCGGGGATTGGCCTCCGAGTTCGCTCCCAGCAACATAAGGGTCAACGTGGTCTCTCCAGGCCGCATCGACACCAGCCGCGACCTCGCCTGGTATCCCGGCCAGAACATGGCCGACACCTCCGAGATCCCTCTGGGCCGCCTCGGCCACGTCGACGACATAGCCGGCGCCGTCGCATTCCTCGCCACCGACGACTGCGGCTTCATCACCGGCCAGACCATCCACGTAAACGGCGGCACCGCCTATTTCTGAGGGAGAGGCATTGGTTCACAAATTCAGGAGGAATTCAGTGACCCTCTGAAAAGCAGGAGATGTCCAGTCCCACACACCGGCTTCGGCGGCCTCTCCCAAGCGCAGTGCAGGCCACCGTCTGGTGATGTTGCCATCATCTGTAGTACGAACTGGGCCTATTGCCAGATAGGAGTTGAGTGGAGCTTAGCCTTGGCCATTTGATTTGCGGCTATTGCGGGTTCCAGGGACTCCAGGCAGTTGAGGTAATCTTCGACACATTCCAATTCCCGAGAGCCTGCCACGGAACGAAGGCAGACATTCTCCAACTCGCCCTGCTCATCGTCGGGAGGGAGGATAAGCACCGAAATCCGCAAGCCATCCCGTTCTATCAGGGCCATGGGCCCATCAGGTGTTGGCATCCCGGCCCTTCGCAACGAGCCGGCAACACTATCGAAGGCCGACTGTGAGCTGTTGTCTGCATCCCGGACGATTCCGATGCTGGGGTCTATGAAGTCATTGAGACGCCCAGCAAGATTCACCAAGCGATTACCCAGATTGGGTTTGCCGCCATAAATCTCAACAGTGATGCCCGTTTCCCCCAAATGTCTGGCCAGCGCCTCGAGAAATCGCTTGTCGTCTTTGCCTTCTACCAACAATAGTCTTGTTGGGGTTGGAAATTCATTACTGGAAGTCATTACCGTACTTCCAAGTCGAATTCCACAGCGTAGTCCAACGCCTCCTTGTCATCGTAAGCGATGCTCTCTATCTGTCCGGTTCTGCGGTTGCGCTAAAATCGCATCAATGAAAAATCATCATCCAGTTCGGCATGTTTAAATGCAGCATGCGCAGCCTTGACGCACTCGTAGCTGTGGGTAGTGGCGAATACCTGCACATTGAACTCGCGGGAAAGCCGCTCAATCGTGTTCCAAACTTCAGGAAGCTTGCTGTAGTGTATGCCGTTTTCGATTTCATCGACCAGCAAAAGACCGTCCTTGGCCTTCATAAACGAAAGCACCAGAGCCAGCAGGCTCTTGGTCCCCTCCCCCATGACCGAAATTGGGAAGGGTCTCTCTATGCCAATGTCTGCGTGAATCTCGGGGGTTCCGCGGCGGTCGGTGATTACTTCCAGTCGCTGCAATCTCGGTTCGAGTAGACGTACTGCCTTTTCGATTTGGGGCACATAATTCCCCATCTGTGCTCGGCCAAAGAGGGCGGCCAAGCTGCGGGCGCCGTGCCTCTTTCCTGGAGATTCAAACTCGCAAGGGCGATTGCTAGTCGAGCTAGGAAACGTGTCTTGCTTTACAACGGTTTGTGGCATCCCCGTTTTTGTTTCCGCTTCAATCCAGGCGGTAGTTCGGTAATTGTGACCGGACTCGTCTGTATGCTGGAACACCAACTCGCTATCGAAATCAACCACATTGGTGGACGCGTTTTCAAATTCAGTATCCGACTCGTTAGACCAGTCAACAAGGGACCGCTCCTTTCTTGGCTGGCATTTGATAGTAAGGCTCACGCCACCATTTCCCGCCTGATTCTCTGCCTCCAAGCCAATTAGCAGGCCGGTCTCATAGTTGAAAAACAAGCTTTCGAACAGTCCCTCCTGCTCACCACCTCGGACGCCGCGGCGCCTGATGGCACGGGGCGCATCCAATGCGTGCGAGGGACGGCTGAGCAACCACAAGGCTTCCAGCAAAGCGGTCTTGCCCACGTTGTTTTCGCCGGCAATCAGGGTGATGCGAGACAGCGGCTCCACTTTGAGGCGGTCAAATAGACGGAAGTTTTCTATGCTGAGAGAACGGTACATCAACGCGACCTTAGGCCCCTAATCCCTGAACCTGAACTCCTTCAGGCCGGGCGAGATCTTGATCTTCGCCTCCGTAAGTTCCTGTATCTCCTCCGGGTTCCAGCCGGGGGCATTTTCCAGCAGCTCAAAGCCCTCCGGGCTGATGCCGAACAGGCCCAGGTCGGTCACCAGCATCTTGACCACGCCTGGGGCGGTGATCGGCAGCTTGCAGCGCTTCAGCAGCCGCGACCCTCCCTCCCGGGTGGTGTGCTCCATCGCGATGAACACCCGCTGGGCACAGGCCGCCAGGTCCATCGCGCCCCCGATGCCGCCGCCCTTGCGATTGGGAATGCGCCAGTTGGCGAAGTCGCCGTTCTCGGCAACCTCGTAGGCCCCCATCACCGTGACATCGATCATTCCGCCCCGGATCATCATGAACGAGTCGGCGTGGTGCACGATGCCCATGCCCGCCATCGGCGTCACATGCTGCCCACCGGCGTTCACTAGGTGCCGGTCCTCGTTCCCCTCGGTGGCCAGCGGCCCATAGCCGACAACGCCGTTCTCCGAGTGGTTGATAATCTCCCTCGAGTCATCGACGTAGTTGGAACATAGTGTGGGCATCCCAACGCCCAGGTTCACTATCCAACCGTCCTGGAACTCCATGGCCAATCGGTCGCACATCTGCTGGCGGGTCAGCTTCGTCTTTTCGGCAGTCATATTCGCTACTCCTCGGAGTCCCGTCTACAGACCTGTTGTCTTACAATCCCGTTCCCTGCAGTCCCGTGGTCTACAGACCGGGCTTGGCGCCCGACCAGATGCCGTCCTCGGGAATCTTCACTATGCGGTCAACGTATATCCCGGAGACGTGCACATGGTCCGGATCGATCTCTCCGATCTCAACGACGTCGTTCTCGACCTCAACGATGGTCGTCTTGGCGGCCATGGCCATGATCGGGTTGAAGTTGCGCTGCGACAGCCGGAACTGCAGGTTCCCGAACTTGTCGGCCTTCCAGGCCCGCACCAGCGCGTAGTCGGCGTGGATGGGATACTCCAGCACGTAGGTCCGTCCGTTGATCTCGCGGTGCTCCTTCCCCTCGGCCAATTCGGTACCCACCGAGGTGGGCGTGAAGAAGCCGCCGATGCCGCGGCCGCAATGCGGATGCGCTCGGCCAGCGTGCCCTGCGGCACCAGCTCGGCGTCCACAAGTCCCTCGTTGTACATCTGGACGAACGGCGTGACCATCGAGGGATGCGTGGGCGCGGTGAAGGCGCAGATCATTTTCTTGACCTGTCCCGCCTCCACCAGGGTGCCAACGTCCACCAGTTCGTCCAGAGTGCCAGCATTGTTGGAGATGCAGGTCAGTTCCTTGGCGCCCTGCCGGTTAACCGCCGCCAGCAGGTTGCGGGGAACGCCCACACCGGAGAACCCCGGGCACATGATCGTCGAGCCATCGGGGATGTCGGCCACCACTTCGTCCATGGTGGCGTACACCTTGTTTTTCATAGGGAAACAACCCTCCGGGGAATCTGAAACAAATACTAGCGCAGAGTGGGTTGTCACGCCACTACTCGCCGCCGCCAGCGGGGTCCTTCAATCCTCTCTCCACCTCGGGACAGTTAGACGGGAGAGTGAGTTGGGCGCGGGAGTCTCACGCAGGCGGCACAGTCAGCACGAGCGTCGAAACTCCATTACAAGGCACTCTGACTCCTCCGGGCTCAATCTCCCGCACCGACCTCCTGACGCCGAACCCGTTGCCCAGGGCAATCGCGTCTAAAATGCCGAAGGCCCTATCTGTCGTCATTCCCGCGCAGGCGGGAATCCAAACCCCCGTCTACACTCGCACCCGGAACTGAAGGAGCCACTGCCACTCCCATCTCCACCGCCATTCCGACCAATTTTGTGTGCCGAGAAATAAGACGCGATTGCCCTGACCCGTTGCCAAACTCCGGCATGCCTAGTAGCATACTCATGTTAGTATATTAGTTCTATATATATTTTCCCCATTACCATACAGGCATTCAACCGTCCCCCCCCGCGAAAGCGTGGACCCAGTGCTTCAGAGGCAAAGACAAAAGCCTCCGTCTACTCCATGTTGAACATCCCCGGGGACGCAAAGTACCGAAAAATCCAGGAAGCTCGAGCGAGAGCACGGTAATCCCGAGGACAAGCGAAATCCCCTCTCCAAAAATGAGACAGAAAGAGACACTTAAAAAATTCGTGGGTGACATGAGACACTCGGAAAAGCACTCCGCGACCCTCCGTTATTCCGGTGAATGCGGAATCCACGGAACAGGCGCTTGGCCACCAGATGTCAGGGAATGTCAGGGAATGTCAGTGATTTCCATACCCCTGGCATTGTCAGGAACTCGATCCGGCAACCCCACGGCCGTCCCCTTGAAGCCCACCCAAAGAGGCCAAAGTACCGGAAATTACCGTATAGTGGATAGTCCCCGCACCCGTCCACAATCCCCTGCGGGGGCCTTGGAGAGGCTGGGGCCATGGACGGTGAGGGACTGAATTCACCCTCTCATGCGGGGACCACCCCTTGACAACCATGGGGTTAGGCCGAAAAATCCTATGAACAATCGACCTTGACAGGAGCTTTCTATGGTTGCAACCAGTCATCGCACCTATACCTATGTCGGCATGGGCGGCGAAGGAGACTTCATCGGTGAGGGCGGCATCTTCCGCCAGGCCGATGGCGAAGAGGAATGGAAGGACATCTCCGCTGGCCTGCCGGGCAACCCCCAGGTCCGCGCCCTGGTGATCAAGCCGGACAACCCCGCCGTTGTCTACGCAGGGACCCAGGACGGCGTATACCGCAGCAACTACCGGGGCGACAGCTGGCAGCGACTGCCCGACCCCGCCGACAGTCGCGAGGTGTGGTCGCTTGCGGCCCACCCGACGGATCCGGACACCATCTTTGCCGGCTATGAGCCTTGTGCCATCGCCCGGTCCCGTGACGGCGGAAGCACGTGGCAGGAAATGGACACCAGCGGCGTCAAATTCCCCCACATCACCACCTACATGCCGCCTCTGGCCAAGCGGGTCATCGGCATATCCATCGACCCCGTTGACCCCAACAACATGTACGCAGCCATCGAGGTTGGCGGCCTGCTCGGCAGCCGCGACGGAGGCCAGACCTGGACCCAGTTGATGGATGGGCCGTATCTCCGTAACAACACCCTCGACCTGCACGCAACACAGGTGAGCGCTGCCGATCACGGCACGGTTCAGATCGCCACCCAGATAGCCATGTTCCGGGGAAAGAACCACGGCACGCGCTGGGAGCACGTCACGGTGGATGACATGTTCGTGGGCGGCTCCTACTGCCGCGACCTCGCGGTGGCCCCGGACGACCCCAGCACCATCTACCTCGCCTCGGGCGCCGGCGGCGGTGCCGCTCCTCCCGACACAGTGCCGGAAGGGGCCCTGTTCCGCAGCCGCGACGTGGGCGAGACCTGGGAGCGCCTCGACCTCGGCGAAGTGCCCCCTGGCCGCATGATGCAGGTCGCCATCGACCCCGCGGCCCCCTCCCGCATCAGTTGCGCCTCCTACTCGGGCGAGATCTACAGCAGCAGCGACGGCGGCCAGACATGGCAGAAGAGCATGCTGCCGGTGGAGTCCACCCGCTCGCTGCACATCTATCCAATGGTCTGCGGCTAGACTGCGCTTTCGTACCCGGAGCGGTGGTTGCCGGCAAACTGCCGGGACCACCGCTCTGTGCCGCTTTCCAGGCAGCGCGAAAACGCGGCCTGCCTGGATTCTCGGCCTACCTGAATTCTAGAGTTGATTCCATTCTCCCGGAGGGCCGGTGTGGTGACCACTGCTTTAACTAGAGCTACCTATCGTGTTACCCAGGAAACCCTGGAGGACATGATCCTCGACAAGAACGAGTTCCCCGAAGATTTCCAGGGCCACCAGGTGGTTCGCGACGGAGAGCTGGACAACGAACGGCTGGCTACCAACGGATTCCCCGGCAGCACCGCCGAGAGATTCCAGCAGGCGGGCCGGGTGACCGGCCAGATGCGCGAGCTCGGCCCCACATCGGACATGTCCATGTCCGACGGCTTCGACTTTATGGCGGCCTCGGTCGTGCACCTGTTCGACACCCCGGAATCCGTCAGCACCTGGATGCACGACATCTTCCTCAAAGACTTCGAGAGCCATGTGGGAGACAGCGTCGGGCAGGGCCATCAGCTCGTGGCGGCAACCCGCCTGGAAACCAGCGGGGTTCTTCGACGAGTCCGTCGCCCTCCGGGTCCTGCAGGGCGGCCCCACCGGCCTGATCTCATCGACGGTCGTGGACTTTCGCCTCGGCCGGCTCCTCGGCGTCGCCTTCGTCGGAACCATAGGAGACCACGGCCGCCCGGAGCTGACCACGCAGATAGGCCGCGCCCTGGAAAAACGAATGGCCTCAATAGTTCTGGGCGTGTAGGGCTCCGGACCTCAAAAGGCGCGCCCACCTGAATACAATCGAGTCACCAACGAACAAGAGGCCGGGGACATCCCGGCCTCTTGCCTTGACTCGCTGTTAGGTCACTCTCGCAGCTTGGGGCGGCCCTACCCCGCAACAACCAGCCTCGCCGCCTCGTCACCCATCTGCGACGTGCTGGCGCTGCCCCCAAGGTCGGCCGTTAGAACGCGGCGCTCCTCCAGGCAGCGGGCCACGGCGGCATCGACCCGGGCGGCCGCATCAGCCTCGCCCAGGTGATCGAGCATCATCGCCACGGCGGAGACAGTGGCAATGGGATTGGCGATACCCTTGCCCATGATGTCAAAGGCCGCGCCATGCACCGGCTCGAACAGCGACGGATGCACCTTGTCGGGATTGATGTTGGCGCTGGGAGCCAGCCCCATGCTGCCCGTCACCACCGCCGCAATGTCGGAGAGTATGTCTGCGAACAGGTTGGAGGCCACCACGACGTCGAAGTCCTCGGGCCAGCGCACGAAGTCCATGCAGGCCCGGTCCACCAGCAGCGACTCGGTCTCCACCTGCGGGAACTCGGCGGCCACATCCTCGAACACCTCGTCCCAGAACACCATGCCGAAGGACTGGGCGTTGGATTTCGTGACCGACGTCACTTTTCATCCGCTTGTTGCGGCGTACGCAGTGCTCGAAGGCGGCGCGGATGATCCGTTCGGTGCCCCGGCGGGTGAAAACGTTGCTCTGGATCACCGTCTCGTGCGGCGTCCCGACGTTCAGCCGCCCGCCCACGGGAGCGTACTCGCCCTCGGTGTTCTCTCGAAGATGACCATGTCGATGTCGCCAGCCTTCTTGCCGGCCAGCGGCGATGTCACCCCCGGGTACAGGTACGCTGGCCGGACGCAAATCCCCTGATCGAACCCCCGCCGCATGGGCAGCAGGAGACCGTGCAGCGTGATGTGGTCGGGAATGTTCGGGTCTCCCACCGCGCCGAACAGAATGGCGTCGAAACCGGATAGCAGCGCCAGCCCGTCTTCCGGCATCAGGCGGCCCGTCTCCCGGTAGTAGTCGCTGCCCCAAGGGAAATCCGTAAACCGGAAGGACGGCCCTCCCGAGGACTCCAGGGCCTCCAGCACCTTCCGTCCCTCGGCGATCACCTCCGGGCCAACGCCGTCGCCGCCGATTACTGCCAAGTTATATTCCGCCATCGTTTCGCCATCCTTCGAGTTACAGTTGCCGTCCCCTGCCTTCCGCCGTTCAAGCGACCGTCTGCACACCGCCGCTCAGGACGCGAAAGTGATAGACCGTTTGAGCCTCGGGAAAGGCCTCTCTGGCCTTGATGTAAGTCGACTTTCCACGTCTCTGGGTTGCGTCCAGCAACACCCCCGAAACCCCGTCCCGGTGGCCGCCGTTGACCCCCACGGCGCCGACCTCTCTCGCGAACGACACCAGTTCCTCCAGTCGTGGACGCGACTCTATCTGCCGGCCGGCCTCCGCGGCCACCGTGGCGCCCTGCCCGACCAGGGCGGGGCTTCTCTCCGCTATACCCCGGCGAATCAGTCCAAGGGCCTCGTCGGTGAGTTTGTTGACGGCGCTCCATCTCCGCGTCCTGTCGTCCATGCTCGACCCGGGAGAACCGCCAAAATCCAGGGCCACAATCTCCATGGGAGGCGGAGCGCCCAGGCTCTCCCGCACCATTCCGGCGCGATGGTCAAACAGAGCCAGGCCCGGCATCATCACCCCGCCGGTGGGTTCGATGGACAGGGCGATCTGCGCTATGTCGTATGGACTGAGTTCCTCTCCCAGCGCGAGGGCCGTGGCGGCGATGGCAGCTGACAGGTCGGCGGAACTGCTGCCCAGTCCTCTGCCACGCGGTATCGGGTTGCTGACGCGGACCGCGGCCCGCAGCTTGGCCCGGCGAAGGTGCGCCAGCGTCCGGCGAACAGCGGCCACCGTCTTCTCGCAGTCTTCCGTGGCCTCGACTCCCGGTCCATCCCCGCTTACCTCCACCCGCACCCGCGAGTAGAAATCAACCGGGCAGGTTACCGAGAAGGGCATGTCGCCCAGTACTCCCTGGGCTAGCACACCGCACACTCCCGGAGCCCGGACAGTAGCAGTCCCCAAGGCGCCGGGGTCGGCATTCGTGTCTTCGCTGTGTGTGTTGTCGTCGCCGCTGGTCAAGGAATCTTCTCCGGGTCCGGGGGCGTTGAACCAGGTTCCCCCCACGGGACCGTGTTTCAGGAAAGGTGAGACCCGTCGTTGAAGAGTCGCAGCACTGCGTTGTCGTGGTGGGTGTCGACTATCGAGAGAGTGCAGTTGCCGAATACGAACCGCCAGTTGGCATCAAGGGGCATTCCCAGCAGCGCCATCATCGCAGCGCGAAGGGAGCCTCCGTGGCCAACCACCAGCACCGTGTCGTCGAGATGCCTCTCCTTGATTTCGTTGATAACCCCGGACATTCGGGCGCTGACTTCGCGGGTGGATTCGCCGCCATCGGGCGCGTAATCCAGGTCCTTTGCGATGTAGCTGGGATACTCGCCGGGAAAGCGGCTCTTGAGTTCAGCGTCTGTGAGGCCCTCGAACGCGCCCTTGTGATATTCGCGCAGTTTCGAAGTTGGATGCAGTGGCACCTCCCGGCCATGCAGGATGACCGCAGCAGTCTCGGAGGCCCGGCCAAGGTCACTGGCGTAGGCGGCGTCGAACTTGACGGAGTTCAGTCGATTCGCCAGCTTAGTGGCTTGTTCGATGCCACGCTCGGAAAGTCCCACATCCGTGTGTCCCTGGATGCGCCCCTCCCGGTTCCAAACAGTCTCGCCGTGCCTGGCAATAAAGATTTGACCCATGTCTCTCAGCAGTAACTTTAAGGTAGATCCAATTCGTCCGGTATTTTATCACGCGGCACCGCAAACGGAGCCGAAAATCTCTCCCCACCAGGACATGTAACCTGCCATAAATCGCCATCATTGAAGGCTACGTTCCGCTGAACACTGCCCAAAAGTCGTCCTGTACCTGCAATCAGTCAGAATTCGTCCTGCTCTAAAACTTGTGCCTACTCTATATTGACACCGTAGCTGGGATTTCCTACAATATTTTGACGTTGTGGCTATACGTTCTCTTGTGCCCTGATGCCATGTGCGAGGTGAGGATATGCCTCCTCGAAAATCCCGAGCCAAGAAAACCAACGAGGCGGAGGCCAATATGCCTGTACTGACAGCTTACTGCACGAAACTGCGCAGAAAAGTGGAAATGGATCAGATCGAACTGGTGACCATGAAGAACGGTCGGCCGGCCGCCAAGGGCGTGGCAAAAGAAGATCCCAGCCTGTCCGTATTCCGGATCCTGAGCAAGGCTGAGGCCGAGGAACTGGCAAAGGCCCTTTCCTGAGCGCTGCCCCTCCTGTTCGCGCACAACGACGCGGGCATCAACAGCCAGGCTGAGGCTGTTCCCTGCGTTGCAGTTCCGTTAGTGTCCGAGAATACAGGAGCTTGGGAGCGATTCCTTGGCTCAGAAGCTGGTTCAAAACTGTAATCAGTCCTACCAACGGCCGGAGGCCCCTCCCCTCCGGCCGTTGCGCTCGAAATAACAATCGGCCGCAAGTGGCGTTCCAATCGGGTTGATTTGCGGCTGGACGATTCGTCGTTCCCGCGAAAAATGTCCTCGCTAAAGCGGGGAATGGGAATCCAGATCTGTGTGGTTTCGGGCTGGAAATATTCTCAACCACCTGATTCGGAACACTATCTACTCACACTTACCCCTTCCAAGTCAGGTTCCGCTCCCAAATAATCCTACACATGTTCTTTGGATCTCTTTGCCTTTACTTGCAGCCCCACCATCCGGCGGAATCCGCAAATGCCTACACAACAGAGATACAATCGAGCGGGAACGAGAGGAAATTCTGCATTTTCATTTCGGCAACCGCTGGCTGCGGAACCTCTCTCCCGGGCGTCTTATGGGGTTGGCAAGGCTCCTTTTCTGAGACACTGACCTTTGGAAGATTGCACACAATCACCCACTTTTTGTGGTGCACCCTAGCCGGTCCCATCCCGTACTGAGACACCCCTCCGGCACCTTGACCACGCAGGTCCTACTCTCGGACTGGCCCGGAGCCGGACAGTCGCATCATCCTGAGGCAAATCGGTAATGGGGCCACCTGAAACCGAACGCTGCCTGCACGAGGACGGGACTTGACCGATACCTGCCTCTGTGATTGACTACGCCGGGCCAAATTTTTGGGTCATCCAGCAACCGGAATTGGTGGGGCACGCAACCCCCAGATGGTTGAATTACGTCGCTGACCTTATGTATGATGTTGCGGGAAAATTGGGGCATTGTGGGCGCCGCGCTGCAACTGCCCGCTCGAGGATGAATTCGCGGACTCTGAGTTGTATGTCCTGGCCGGTTTTGAGCGTGCCGGTACTGAGATGACAACATCTTTTGGGAGCCTAAATAGATGAGCTTGATTCAACGCACCGCTATCCCAATTATTGTCCTGCTCGCAGTGGTAGGCGTGGGGGTGGCGATATTCACGGCCAGCAGCCCCTTCGCATCCGGTCAGGAAACGGACAGCTGCGACACCGGGGTTGGTATTGGAATCAAAACCCGAAACGAGTCCGGTCAGAACGTAGCCTCTGTACGCCACGGAGACGTCATCAATTACGGGGTCACGCTCTCCCTCTTGGAACCCGAGCCAGGAACCACTTACTGTAATTTTGGTGGCGGCACCTTGACCATCACCCTGCCCAGCGGCGACGAAGTTGTCGTTGCCGGTAGTGAAGATACTCCCGCCATTGAAACTGTCAGCACCGGCAACCCGTTCTTTTCCACGACGGTGAACTACGCCGTTAATCAGAACGACGGTGTACAGTCCAACCCAGACGATCTGGAAAATGACAACGTGGAGCTTACGGTCCGCGCCAGGTACTCCGGCGGTCATACGGTCAGCTCAACGGGTACGCTGCTTGGCGCCGAAGTCGAAGCGAGCGGCTCTAACTTGGTCCGGATGGTAGCCCCCTCGGTAGATATCGTTATTTCACCCAGCGTGGTACAGGACGCGGCGGTGCCAGACTCCCAGACGGTCTATCAGGGCCAAGTAGCGTCCTTCAATGTGGTTATCACCAATACTGGCGGCTTCGAACTGTCAAACATCGCTGTTGCCTCCCTTGAAGATGCGGAAGCCGGAGAGGTAAGCATTGCGGACTGCGCACGCGCCGCGGACAGCTTCGAGGCGCTCGCTGTGGGCTCATCGACAGCGGCCTACACCTGCGGTACCACTACCGAAACCAGTTTTGTCCAGCGGGTCCAGGTTACCGCCGACGGAACGGCCACTGACACCGCAGGCGGGGCAATTGCGATCCAGGTAAGCAATGACGACACCACCACAGTCTTTTACGGTACGGTGGCAGTCGGCATCACCATTACAGCCCAGTCCCCGGTAGTCCGCCTCGAACAAAACGGAACGTTCGACATCACGGTCACTACGCCAACCGCAACCGGTCTGGACAACGTAACTGTTGCCGTGCGCATAGACGGGCCTGGCGAAGGCCAGTCCACTGATTCCGTGGACTGTTCCAAGAGCTATCAAACGGTTGCGGCTGACGCCGAGGTTGAGCCCTATGCCTGTTCAGAGGCAATGTTCCAGGGTATCAACACCATCACTGCCACAGTGTCCGGTACGGTGCCGGGAACTGAAACCGTCCTGCAGGCGACGGACTCCACTCAGGTGGAGGCCATTACTCCTGGTCTCTCAATCGCAATCACACCTGGTGAGCAAACGATCCGCAGCGGCGCGACCGCGCAGCTTACTTTCACGATAACTAACGGCGCCTCTGATCTGACTGGCGTTACTGTGATCGATCCGGATCCCAGCAACACTATCGGATTGGACCTGCAGATCTGTGACACAGCTCTCGATGCTATCGGAGACCTTGCCGCCAATCAGGAAATTTCAATCATCTGTACGACGGCAATTCTCGCGGAAGAAACGTCTTACGAGGCTGTTGCCGTAGGTACTGCTTCTGACAACAGCACCGAGCCGTCCGATACTGCTAACGCTCTTGTGAAGATTCTGTCCCCTAGTACCGCCATTGGACTGGCGTACGAAGAAAGCGACACGCAGATCATTCGCTTGGTGGTGCAGACTCTCAAAGTCACCGAGACCAACGATGGCGACTCCCCGCTCTCTGATGTGACTGTAACAATGGATCCCACTGGCGTGGTCCTGACTCGCGATTCCAAGCAATATGTCTCAGGAGACGCCAACAACGACGCTATCCTGGATCCCGGCGAAACGTGGGAATGGCGTGTGGTGACGGTCGCTGTGGCCGGCGACGTGGTGTTGCTGCCTGCTAACGCCGAAACCCTGTTCATCTCGGCTACGGGATACGGCGTTGACCAGTTGGGCGGAGAGGTAACTATCCCCGGCGACGTGGATGAATACGGCGAAGTCAACATCCCCATAGTCGCCAACTAGCCCAAACCCAAATCGGGACTCGCTGAGAGCCGGAGGCAGTGCCTCCGGCTCTCCCTATTCCAGCGAGGTCGACAACCTGCTGGCGGGGCCAATGGCTTGCTGGTATCATTTGGCCGAGCAGCGCCGGTCATTCGCGGAGATTGACGCCAGCGCGGGAGGCACCATGGCTCAGAACGAACCCATCGTTTTTCTGAACGGTGAACTGATCCCCGAGTCCCAGGCCGGGATTCCGATACGGGACCGTGGCTTCATTTACGGGGACGCAGTGTTCGATGCCGCCCGCACCTTCAACGGTGTTCCGTTCAAGCTCACGGAGCACGTTAAGCGTCTATTCGACTCCCTGCGATATGTCCGGATTGATCCGGGCATCGACACGGTTGAAATGGAGCACTGGTCGCGCCAGGTGGTGGAACACAACTACCCGCTGCTGCCATCCGGGCAGGATATGTGGGTGATGCAGCGCATTACCCGCGGTGTTGAGGGAGCGCCCGGCGATGGCACCCCAACCGTACTCATCGAGACGCACGCCATCCCCTTTGTATCAAGGGGCGCCCCTATACCGCGACGGGGCTCGGGTGACCACGCCTTCGGTGCCGCGGATACCGCCCCGGTTCATCAGTCCGCGAGCCAAGACCCACAATTACCTGAATCTCGTGCTGGGCGACCTTGAGGCGCAGGGTACCGATCCAGGTTCCTGGGCCGTGCTGCTGGATGAGGCCGGCAACCTGACTGAGGGACGCGGTTCCAACATCTTCCTGGTCAAGGACGGCACCGTGGCCACTCCCAAGGGGCAGTATGTACTGGAAGGCATCACCCGCAGCACAGTGTTGGACCTCGCCGATGGCTTGGGTATGGAAACATCCGAATGCGACCTGGACCTGTTTGACGCCTACACAGCTGACGAGGCCTTCCTGACGTCCACCAGTTTGTGCATTTGCCCGGTCTCGGCAATCAACGGCACGGCCATTGGCGACGGGCGTCCTCCAGGCGCCGTCACCCGCAACCTGATGCGGGCCTTCAGCGACCTGGCGGGAATGGACTTCGAAGAACAGTACCTGGCTCATTTGTAGCGCCACATTCTCGCTGGAATAGTCTCGGGGCCGATGCGGTTCCGCATACTGAAGTCGAAAGGAGTTTGTTATGGCCGACCTGCTACCAGGTATCGTGGAATCGGGCGCGGAAGCGCAGCAACTGGCCACGGGGTTCGGGTTCACCGAGGGGCCACTGTGGCACCCGGACGGATACTGGCTCTTCGTCGACATTCGAGCGTCCCAGGTGCACCGGATGACGCCCGAAGGCACGACCGAGATTTTTCGGGACAACAGCGGCGGCTCCAACGGGCTGACGTTCGACACCGCCGGAAACCTGGTCCTTTGCGAGGGAGACAACCGTCAGATTTCCCGCCGGAATGCCGACGGTTCATACACCGCCATCGCCACACACGTGGACGGCAAACGCATCAACCGCCCCAACGACGTGGTTGGCCGGTCGGATGGCTCGCTCTACTTCACCGACCCAAACGGGAGGCTGACGCAGGAGGAGCGGGAGTTGGATTTCAGCGGCGTGCACCGGGGTCTCGCTGACCGCCAGCCACACCATCGCCACCCGCGACACTGAATACCCAAACGGTATCGCCCTCTCCCCTGACGAAAGCGTGCTGTACGTCGCGATCACCAGGCTGGACGACAGCTGCATAGGCGAGAAGGAGCGGGGCGAAGTCTGCGAGCACCAGTTCATTCGTGCTTTTGACGTAGCCGCAGACGGCTCCCTGTCCAACAACCGCGTGTTTGCCACCATGTATTCCGACGAAGACGGAGTGCCCGATGGAATGAAAGTGGACGCGGAGGGACGCGTCTACTGCACAGGTCCGGGCGGGTGCTGGGTGTTCGACGCGGCTGGCAATCAGCTGGGTGTCATACGTTTGCCTGAGATTCCGGCCAACTGCGCATGGGGAGGCGAGGACAACCGCACAATGCTGTTCACCGCCCGCACATCAGTCTACTCCCTGAGAATGACGACGCCCGGCACAACCATCCCCACGCAGTAGAAGACAGATCCGCTGCGAAGTCAGGCCTACCGAATTCCCCCGCAATTTGCCCTCTCCCTTCACGGGAGAGGGAACTTTATGTAGTAGATTGCTGCCGAAGGCGACGAACTCGGAATCCAACTTAGCGGAATGAAACAATGAACGAATACGACGCCATAGTCATCGGAGTGGGTGGCATGGGCAGCGCGGCGCTGTACCACCTGGCAAGACGCGGCTGGAACGTCTGGGGCTGGAACAGTTCGACGTGCCCCACGAAATGGGATCGTCGCACGGATATTCCCGGATGATCAGATACACCCTGCAGGAGCATCCCTCATACGTCCCACTGGTGCGTCGCGCCTATGAGCTGTGGCATCAACTGGAGAACGCATCCCGCGAGCGCCTCCTCGTGACAACTGGGTCCATTCGCGCTGGACATGCAGAAAGCGAATATTTCCAGGGTGCGGTGGCCGCCTGCGAGGAACACAATATCCCCTACGAGGTCCTGACAGGCCCAGAGACCAGCAGGCGTTTCCCTGGCTACAACTTTGGCCACGACATAGCCTCCGTTTACCAGGCGGATGGGGGCTTTCTCTTGCCGGAGCGTTGCATCGTGAATCACGCCAATGCAGCCTTGGAGGCCAGCGCCGAGATTCACGGCCGTGAGCGCGTCATGGACTGGGAACCCTCTGGAGAAGGTGTTGTGGTCCGCACCAGTCGTGGCAGTTACCGCGCGGCGAGGCTGGTTGTCACCGCCGGTGCCTGGGCGTCAAAGATTGCGTCGGCATTGGGGCAATACGCCGTGGCCGAACGGCAGGTGTTGGGGTGGTTCCAACCGGAGAGACCAGAGCTATTTCCGAACTGATAACTTTCCCGTGTTCGGCCTATATGCAGAGGAGGGACGGTTTTACGGTTTCCCCGTGCATGGTGTACCTGGCTTCAAGGTGGGACGCTCCCATCACCTGCACCAGGAGGTCGACCCCGACCTGCTCGACCGCGACATATACGACGAGGACGAGGCTATTCTTCGAAATTTCGTCGAGCGCTATTTCCCGGCCGCAGCGGGACCAGCCCTTCCCTCAGACCTGCATGTTCACCAACTCCCCCGACGGCCACTTCATCATCGACCTGCATCCCGATTATCCCCAAGTGTCGTTGGCCTCTGGCTTCTCGGGACACGGGTTCAAGTTTGCCAGCGTAATCGGAGAGATCATGGCCGACTTGGCCATGTTCGGCGAGACTACCCACGACCTCGACTTGTTCCGGCTGGACCGGTTCAACACCATCTTGAATTAGCGCTCGGAACAGGGAATAAAACTGGCTGATGGGCGCGGGCCGGAAGCGAAAATTTTCTGCGATGCCGCACCCGCTGTGTTAGACTATTTCAGCAGTCACACTTGCTCGGGAGCACGATGGACTTTCTTTCTGTTGACCACCAGCCAGGCCGAAAGCTGAGCACGCTGTTGATCGCATTTAGTGGCTGGGCAGACGCTGCCGAGGGCGCCACCAGCGCGGTCAAATTCCTCAAGCGCAAGCTCAAGGCACAAAAATTCGCGGAGTTTGACCCAGAGGATTTTTACGACTTTTCCCAGACCCGGCCCACAACGACCCGCACCCGTGACGGCAAGAGACACATCCACTGGCCAGCGAACGAGTTCTTCCACATCGAGAATCCCGACACGGGCGACGGACTCATGTTGTTTACTGGAGTGGAGCCCAACCTGCGTTGGCGCACCTACTCTCAGGGCGTCGCCCGGCTGGCGGCCGAGCAGGGCGTGGAGACCGTCGTGCATGTGGGGGCGCTCCTTGATGCCGTGCCCCATACCCGTCCTGTCAAGCTGAGCGGAACGGCTACCCGCCCTGACCTGTCTGAATTCCTGGAGGGAAGAGAGATCCGGTCGTCCAATTATCAGGGCCCTACGGGCATCAGTTCCTCCGTTATGGACGCGTGCGTCAAGCAGGGGCTGGGGTACTCATCCATCTGGGGACACACTCCCCATTATCTGCAGGCGGCCCCCAACTATAGAGTCGCGTACACGCTGTTGCAGATTATGACCCGCCTGCTTCACCTGCCATTGGACTTGGAAGAGTTGCGTGGCGCAGCGTCAAAATTCGACGAAGAGGTTGCCAAGGCGGTGCAGGCCGACGAACAGATCGGCTCGTATGTCGCCAAGCTGGAGGGGCAGTACGACGAAAGCGTGGCCGACAGCACCATACCCGATCCGGAAGACCTTGTCCGCGATGTGGAACGGTTCTTGCGCGGGGAGCGGTGACCTCCAGGAACGAAGCTTGCATTGCCAATGATCGACATTGCCGGGAGGCGAATCTAGGGTCTGCGTTGGTCTACCCTCCCATAGTGTAGCTCCAGTTTTCTTTGGCCTGTTCCTTTTTTCAGAATTCCGGGGTGAATATCCTGCGGAATTTGGGAACTTGAACTGTCCAAGACTTCGGATTTGCTAGGCGATTGGACTAGAATTAACCGTTGATTGAAGGGGATTGCGATAGTACTTATTGACAAAAATTCCACAATCCATATAATCCCACAAGTTTGCATTGTTGCCAGCCCCTGAGGGTGGTCGGCGGCAAGCCTATTTCAGGTTTGGGAAAAGACTTCCCATCTTCAAAGGAGAAGTAGTGTTTAACGGAAGGAAATTTGTCTCAAGGTTTTGGTTTCCCACCTTAATGCTGATGGCGTTGGCTCCGATCGTGGCATGTGGCGGGTCGGCGACCGAGGAGCCGACGTCAGCACCAGATGCTACAGCGGCGCCGGTGGCAACCTCGGCACCTGAAGCCACAGCGGCACCTGAAGCTACGGCTGCACCTGAAGCCACGGCTGCATCTCAGCAGGCGGCTGCGCCGCAGCCTACCTCGACGCCGCGCCCTGCGCCCACGACGGCAGTGCAATCACATGTGCCGCAAGGCGTAATGACCTACGCGGTCAAAGAGACCGGCGTGTTCGAAGGGCACCCGCGGTTTATGTCCAGCCCTCGTGTTCAGTACTCCGGCGTAAGTTTCGGGGAGTCGATGGTCGCCATCCAGCCCGACCTTTCGCCTGGTCCGCTGCTGGCTTCCGAGTGGGACATTTCCGACGACGGCCAGTTCTGGACTTTCAAGGTCCGGGATGACGTGGAGTTTCATCCCAAGTGCGGCCCCTCCCAAGACCAGAGTTGCGGCACTTTGAACATCCACGACATCCTCTGGAACTACAAAGAGTGGCACGAGGGTTCCCTGAATGCTCGCGCCGGCATCATTGGCGACTTCTGGGTTGGCAATAAGGGGGGATCCCAGACGGTGATTGACGATTACACTGTGGAAATCGACACCGGCGAGCCCTGGCTTCGAGAAAGGGCGTTTGAGTTCATGCGCCACTTGGGTGGTGTAAGTACCACAATCGTGAGCATGCAACAGACCCGGGAAATTTTCGAAGGAGCCGGAGGCAACTGGGACGATCGCTACAGTGAACCCGGCGTGGTGACCGAGGCCTACGAGGAAGCCGCCAAGGAAGCCAGCAAGAACATCTCCGCCACCGGGCCGTGGGAAATTATCGGGCCCACCAACGACAGCAGTGTCTGGCGCTTCGATGCCGTGGAAGACCACTGGCGGCAGACCCCCTACTTCGCCGAATTCAATATGCGGTCCATCCCCGAGGAGGCCATTCGAGTGGCAGCCTTCGAGACCGGCGAGTTGGACATCATGGAGATGGCCTTCGACTCCTTGCCCGCCGTGGAGGCCGTGGAGGGCACGGAAATCGTTGCCTGGCCCTACGCCACCCAGGCAGGCCTGAATATCTACGGCCAGACCTACGGCGTGGACAAGGACGGCGTACCCTATACACACTTGGACTGCAACAACGCCTGGGTGTCCTGCGACGAAGACCCCACGTCCGAAGAATGGCTGAACACGGTCAAGGTCAAGAAAGCCATGGCCGTGGCCATCAACCGGCAGGAGATTGTAGATACCATTTTCTCCGGTTTTGGCGCACCCCTGTACATGAGGGACTGGATGGGGCATGAGGCCAAGGCCGACCCGCGCTGGACCTTTGAGTACGACCCGGACATGGCACGGCAGTTGCTGGCGGAGGCCGGTTACGGCCCCGGCAACGAGTTCAGCATCACCCTGGCTCCCCGCCATCCGTGGAAGACCCGGTGAGGTTGAGGCCTGCCAGGCCGTGGCCGGCTACTGGGAGGAAGTGGGCATTAACGTCGATCTCAAGAGCATTCCCTACGCCACCATCCGCCCGGAGCTGATTACCCGCACGTTCCAGGGCGCAACTTGCCACAGTCTCAGCGGACGCCTGACCCCAGGCATCGGAGCCTCCAACTACGTGGCGTTGTCCACCTTCAGCTACGGCACGGAGCACCCGTGGATGGAAGAGAACATCACCGACTTGCTGGGCGAGACCAACCCCGTCTTGGTGACCGAGAAAGAGCGCAACGTCTACGGCTGGATGTACGACAACGTCATGGCCTTCGCCATTTACTCGGTGGACGGCATCTGGCCCGTTGGCGAGAGGCTCGACCCGGATTGGACGCCCATAGACTTCAGCGAAGTCTCATCGCCCTCCGGCTTCGAGTACATCAAGCACCGGCAGTAGGAAATACGGACAGGGGCGGGTTTGCGCCCGCCCCTGTATGGGCACTCGGTCTGAATCGAGATTCACCGGACTACGGGATTTTCAGGATTGACAGCAGGGTAGAGGCAACCAGCAGTAGCGCGCCAATTCCCAAATCCTGGAAATCTTCGTAATCCTGTAAATTCTGATTCAGACAATTGGCTGCTCACCTAAAATCCGAGCCACCGTCAGTATCGTATAGCTTAGATTCATAATTGCTTCGACTCAAATTTTTACTCGCGATTATAGGCTGTCATGCAGAGATACCTAGTCCGCCGGTTGGTTCTCGCTATTGTCACCCTGTTGGCTGTATCGCTCATTATTTTCATACTGAGCCGGTCTGCGGGTGACCCGGTCTCGCTCATGCTGGACGAATACTCCACGCAGCAAGACATAGACCGGATGATGGCAAAACTGGGCACCGACAAGCCCTACTATCAACAATACTTCATATTCCTGGGGGATGCGCTACAGGGAGACCTTGGTGATTCAATCAAGGAAGGCCGCCCGGTAAGAGATGTCATCATCGAACGAACACCCGCAACATTGTACCTGGGGGTTACCGCCTTCATCATATCTCTGCTAGTGGGCATTCCGCTGGGAATACTGTCATCCATCAAGCGTGGGAGCCTGATCGACCAGACTGGAAAGGTGGTCGCGTTGCTGGGGCAGTCGGCGCCTCCCTTCTGGCTTGGCATAATGCTAGTCATTTTCTTTTCGGTTTCCCTGAATATATTTCCTACTTCCGGCCGGGAGAGCTGGAACAGCATTGTCCTCCCCGCCGTAACCCTCGGTTGGTTTTATGCTGCGGCCAACCTGCGGCTGGTGCGCTCCGCGATGCTGGATGTGCTTGACTCGGAATACATCAAGCTGGCTCGAGCCAAGGGCGTGCCCTACAGAGGTATCGTGCTCAAGCACGCCTTTCGCAACGCCTTGATTCCGCCTCTCACTTTTGCGGGGGTCACCCTTGGCGCCCTGGTCACGGGGTCCCTGGTTGTGGAAACGGTGTTCGCTTGGCCCGGCCTCGGCAAGCTGGCAATAGATGCGCTCTATGCCTTCGACTACCCACTGCTCCAGGGAGTCGTGGTCGTTTTCACTCTGCTCTATGTATTTGTCGCTTTCTTGGTAGACGTGCTTTACGCCTACATTGATCCCCGCATCCGGTACGCATAGGACGGATATAGGACACCATGGCAGTCAACACAACAACCGATATCCTCACTCCCAGCAGCCCCGGCGTTGGAGCTAGGCTAAGCGCGATTTATCGGATCTTCAAGCGCTGGCCGATAATCCCGGTGCTACTCTTGGGTCTGGTACTTTTCGCAGGCATCGCCGCGCCTTGGATAGCGCCCCACGACCCCGACAAGCAGTCGCTGCCAGAGCGAAGGACGCCTCCTTTCTGGTATGAAGCCAACACGGAATTCCTCACCATGACGGTGGTGCAGCGCGAATTGCCTGGGCAGGATGCCCAGATCTCCCTAGCGGACGCCCAGGCGATAAACCCTGATGTCCAGATCGGCGATTCCATCGACGTAGAGGACGTGATTCGAGAGGGAGGCAGCAGCAAGTATTGGCTGGGCACCGACCAGTTGGGCAGAGACATCCTTTCCCGCGTCATTTACGGGGCCCGCATATCCCTTCTGGCCGCGGCGGTTACCCTGTGCGTCGGTGGATCCATTGGGGTGCTGCTGGGGCTGATAGCAGGTTGGTACGGCGGGGTGATAGACGAGGCGATTATGCGCTTCGTGGACATCCTGCTCGCCATACCCTTGGTTTTGATCGCCCTGGCAATGGTGGCCACACTGGGAACATCGTTAAGCATTATCGTAGCGGTGCTGACTATTTTCATCTGGCCACGGTTCGCCCGCCAGTTGCGCGGCGAGGTACTTCAACTGAAAAGTATGGACTACGTGGCGCTAGCCAAGGTAGCCGGGGCATCAACTCCCCGAATACTGTTCGTCCACATCTTTCCGGGAACCATAAATACACTGATCGTTGTGGCGACCCTCCAGGTGGGCATCGTAATCCTGCTGGAGGCGACGTTGAGCTTTCTGGGTGCCGGTGTTCCTCCGCCAACTGCGACATGGGGAGGCATGGTCTCCGATGGACGCAACCATCTGGCCGGAGGCTTCTCCACTGGCTCCTGGTGGATCTCAACCTTCCCAGGCGTCGCCATAGTTCTGACTGTGATGTCGCTGAACCTGTTCGGCGACTGGCTTCGCGACAAGCTGGATCCGCGCCTGCGGCAGATCGAGTGACCACCCTACCCAGACAGGGGTATTGGACATTATGACAACGCAACAGGACGTCGTGCTGCGGGTGAACGACCTGCGCACCCACTTCCAGACACGGTGGGGAACGGTAAAGGCCGTGGACGGCATCAGCTTCGACCTGCGGCGGGGCGAAACCCTGGGGATCGTCGGCGAGTCGGGCTCCGGCAAGTCAGTGACCATGCTGTCGCTGATGCGACTGATCCCGATACCTCCCGGACGCATAGTATCCGGCAGCATCGAGTTGGACGGGCAGGACATCCTGCAGCTATCCGAATCCGAGATGAACCGGATCCGGGGGAGCAAGATCGGCCTGATCATCCAGGACCCCATGACCTCCCTGAACCCTGTATTTACCATCGGCAACCAGGTTTCCGAGGCCATACGGATCCACCAGGACATTCCGAAGCGCTCGATAATGGAGCAGGCCCTTTCGGTGTTGCGAAAGGTGAACATACCTGCGGCGGAATCGCGGATGCGCGATTACCCGCACCAGATGAGCGGCGGCATGCGCCAGCGCGTGGTGGGTGCCATAGGCATCTCCTGCCAGCCTGAGGTGCTGATCGCCGATGAACCGACCACGTCGCTGGACGTCACAATCCAGGCGCAGTACCTGGCCCTGCTGAAGGACCTGCAGCGGGACTCCAACGTGGCCCTCATATTCATCACGCACGATTTCGGTATCGTGGCCAAGATGTGCGACCGCGTCGCCGTGATGTATGCCGGGCGCATCGTGGAACAGGGCAGCGTCCGCGACATTTTCAACAACCCGTCCCATCCCTACACGGAGGCGCTGCTGGCGTCGGTGCCGAAGATGGAGGACGACGTGGAGCGACTTTATTCCATCGAGGGCCAGCCGCCCACTCTGCACAACCTGCCCTCCGGTTGCCCCTTTGCTCCGCGGTGCCAGTACGCAATGGACCAGTGCCTGGAGGAATACCCCACTCGAGTTACAGTCAGCGAAGGCCACCACGCCTCCTGCTGGCGTCTGAGTTGATATGACGACTGCAAACGCCCCATTCCCGGAGCCGGGCCTCACGATGCACGAAACTATGAACGGCCAAGGCCTGCTGGAGGCCGTCGGGCTGAAGAAGCATTTCCCGGTGACCAGGGGACTGCTCATCAGCAAGACCATTGGCCACATCAAGGCGGTCGACGGCGTCTCATTCGAGTTGAAGCCCGGAGAAACACTGGGCATCGTCGGAGAATCGGGCTGCGGCAAGAGCACCACCGCCAAGATGATGCTGATGCTGGAGGAGCCCACCGAGGGTTCCATCATCTTCGAGGGCAAGGACATTCACACCGCCGATGCGGATGCGCGACGGGAGTATCGCCGGTCGGTGCAGGCTGTGTTCCAGGACCCGTGGAGCTCCCTGAACCCCCGTATGCGGGTGCGCGACCTGATCGCCGAACCGATGACGATCAACTGGGAAATGGGCCGCGGAGAGATCCAGGAACGGGTGCTCAAGCTGCTGAACGACGTGGGCCTCAGCGCCTATCACGCCAACCTGTACCCCCACGAGTTCTCCGGCGGGCAGCGGCAGCGCTTGGCCATCGCCCGGGCCCTGGCCCTCCATCCCAAGGTTATCGTGCTGGACGAACCGGTCTCCGCGCTGGACGTGTCAATCCGGGCCCAGATCATGAACTGCTTAAGGACCTTCAGAGTGAATACAACGTCAGCTACATGCTCATCGCCCACCATCTGGCAACTGTGCGCTACATGTGCACCTGGGTGGCGTGGTGATTGTACGTGGGCCGCATCCGCATAGTTGAATGTCGCGGTTGCGCCGGTGAAGGACATGTTCGACGAACCGTCCACACACGCTAAAACCAGAGCGTTGATGTCGGCGGCCCTGCCGTCGCATCCCGACACGGTTCAGGAGGAGATGATCCTGGCCGGCGAGGTGCCGTCGCCGCTGAACCCGCCGGAAGGCTGCCATTTCCACCCCCGCTGTCCGTTCGTAATGGACCGCTGCAGCCTGGAAGATCCGCAGGTGAAGGAAGTCTCCCCAGGCCACAGAGTCGCCTGCCACCTGTTCTGAACTGAACGTCGGACACCACCGCAACTGGCGTCCGCTGGCATTCCCTATTTCCAAATCACCTGCCGGGCTAGATTGCGCCATGGTCGGA